GTTGATAAGATATGACTGACCTCGTTGCTCTAGTGGGCATCCAGGTTTGCGATGACGTAATTGTGGCGGGTCCGATCGTGTGTTATGCCTGCCAAGGAGAACTGGGCTTCAACTTGGGCGAACCATACTTAGGGCGATTCCGCCCAGAATAGGGGCAGCTTGACAGTGACATGGCCGACGTCCAGGTTGGCAACAGCCGTGGTAGCAGCAGTGCCTGTGTTGACAGCAACTGCTGGAATGGAGCTTTGGAGGGTATGGCCTAAGTCGTTTGCAGCAAAATCATGGTGCGAATATAACTCAGTGGTAACGCACTGCTGCTCAAGCACCTGTTGCTAGGCCTGCAGTTGCTGTGCAAATTGTTGTACTTGCTCTCTCAGAGCAGAGAGGACTTGGTGGTGCGGTTAAATTGATTTACGAGTCACCAGATGTGGGATGCTGCGATGATGGAAGGACGTATCCTAATAGAAACATAACTGTTTATTAGTGCGGTGAGCATGCCGATGTTGCGCTCGAATGGTCAGAAAACGAGCTTGGCACCTTGGATTTATAGCCTCCGATGATGACGTCAGTCTTTGGTGACGCTGTGGTGGTGCTGTCTCTTATCGGACGTGTGTTGCAGCATGAGGCTGAGTCGTGCCGGTTTGTGTGCACTGTGTCGCCACAAGCCTGTTTCACATGCGAGCGACTGAGCGGCGATGTTCGCAGCAATGAGCGACAGAAGGACGCGCAGAAGCGTGTTCGTCTCACATGCACCGCTTTTGAGAGGCGTGCACTGCTTCAGTACACCGCGATAGATGGGGAAAACACGTGAAATGCGGGTTCCCTTTTTCTCAGTCGCTCTTAGTTGCTCCAGCCTTCTACATTTGTGCTCGATTTTTGTGCGCCTAAATCTTGAAATATGAAGATGTACGGCGTATTGAAGTGTGATTATAAACAACTTCAGTAATCAGGTTTATGAAAGACGATAGTCTTTCTTGGGGTACTCAGACGCAAATATTTTGGTCTGTCCATCTGTACATTTGTCTTTTTGTCTGTCGTAACGATACCTCAAACTGCACCAAAGGATGCCCCAAACGGCCAGCCCCATTCGCAGCGCCTACCAATATTGCTCAAGTTTCAAGTTTCATACGTTTGCGATTGTAAATTAAAAAGCAATTATTGCACAAATCTGAGGGACCATAACAACATGCCAATATTTTCTATGCATATTTTTATACTAGAGAAGGCATACATAAGTAATTTTAAGGACCAAAGCGTTTATCACAATGCAACTCGATGCTCAAAAAAGGTAAGTGTTTTCAACGCTTTGCAAAGACGACATGGAGGTGGCGCCTGCCCGTCGCTTTGCGTTCTACACCTTATCGCCTCCAAGATGGGCGCACACGTCTTCCTTCGTTTTCGAAGATAACTGCTGGATAGCGCTCGTGTCTAACGTGCCTCAATGCGCTCATTCGTCTTCACTGCACAGATCGCGACTAACGCAGCACGTCAAGAATACAATTTACCAATTTGCTCACGCAGAACATCAAATAAACGCTTTGTTCACTCTCTTCAGATCCAAGACTCGTCTTTTTGACGACATTTGCAATGAAACATGCAGATACGGGGCCAATTTTTTCGTGTCCATCTATTTACCACCTAAATGTTGCGGCACGCTCGTAAACGTGACCAGGTAAAAGCAAACTAAAGAGTCAGCTTTTGAGGTTCACAGGACTGTCGGTGGCCTTTGTTCTCAAAGGCTCGAAAGTGGCGGTGCACCGTCCGGACAGGCGTGCTATTGTGGGTTGGAGAAGGTCTCTGTTTTTAAGAGCACTCCAGTAAAGAAGTGATGGCATTTTTGTCATGTGGCCATACAGAGGAAGAAAACTGTGAAGGCGTTGGGCGAGAGTAGTAAACAAAGACAGCAACATGTGCGTAGTGCTGTAGTGTCCCCCTGTCCGAACCTATATTGGTGCCGTCGCGGTTCGACGAGAATATAACAGAACAAAATGATATGTGCGAACAACTTGTTTGCTTTGATAGAAGCACCGTTGAGAACGATAGGCACAGAATAAGGGAGAACAGCTCGATGCAGCAGATGTCATCTGCTATCCCTGCAGTCACGTGCTCTCCACGTCACTGCTTCCCCATTGGTTGTTCTTGGGCAGACGCTCTGCCACAAGTAATTTTTTCCAACCCTCGCTCAACCCTCCAACCCAGGTCTAGAGAACGCCATGTTCCAGCCTGCCCGAGCCCGGCTTGGTGTTTTTAAATATAGCCTGTACCCGGTGCGGGCCAAAAAGGTTTGGGCCCGGCTTGTTTCAGCCAGTCATTCCTTCAGCATAAATGAGGCACTGTTCAATCTTTGGTTATTGAGAACATACCTGCCGCACACAAAATGTCACCTAATATATTTTGGACGATCTTTTGTCATAAGGAATTCGTAAATATGTTCAGGAATTCCTTTTAAAAGATGATTAACTTTGTCCCTTATTTGTCATCTGAGGATCCAGGGTTTTGCATAAGTTGAGTACTTCCTTGGTGTAAATGTCTCCCTGTGAACTTTCCTTGTGAGAGAGAGCGAGGGCTATCCTGCCTGTATTTGTCGCGCTACAGAAGTGAATGCCAACTATCACAACAAACAAGCTCGCTATATCAATCACCTTGATATATTTAATTATAAATGCACCCAATGCGATCTTGTCACTGGTACATTCACTGCTGGGACTGGGCCAAGCCAACTGAAAACCAACAAGTTACCTGCTGGTTCCAGCAGCATGTCAAGAGAAAACCACTAACCTTCTGAAAGCAACACAGAAAAGCCTGTAAGCACTCGACTGGGACCAGTACAGTCAATGGGTTTCCTGCTGGGACCAGCATAAAACCATTAGGCACCCTGCTGGAACCAGCGGAAGACCAGTAAGCACACTGCTAAAACCAGTACGACCACCTAGAAACCAGCAGGTTAGTTGCTGATTCCACCAGAAACCAGTACAAACCAGCAGCTCTCAGCAGACTGGCCAGGGACCGTAGTGCTTAATAAAGAAAGCAACAGAATACCAATAAAAAGGGTGTAAGACAAAGAGATGCGATCTCTCCAATACTATTTACCGTGAGCTTACAGTAATCTTCTGAGACCTAGAATTGGAAGAGTTAGGGATAAGAATCAATGGAGAATACCTTAGTGACGTGCGCTTCGCCGATGACATTGCATTTCTGAGTAACTCGGAGGACGATTTGCAATTCATGATAATTGAACTTGACAAGAAGAGCAGAAAGGTAGGTCTTAAAGTTAATCTGTAGAAAACGAAAGTAATGTACAACAACCTCGGAAGAGACCAGTGCCTCGAGATAGGTAGCAGTGCACTGAAGTTGTAAAAGGGTACGTCTACTTAGGACGGGTAGCAACCGTGGAGCGGATCTGCGAGATTGAAGTAACTAGAATAATAAGAATGGGGTGGAGCACATTCAGGAAGCATTCTGAAATTATGAATGGTAACCTACAACTAACCCTCAGGAGAAAGGTATATAACGGCTGCATCTTGCCGGTACTTCACCATGCAGCAGAAATATGGAGGCTAACAAAGAGGGTTCAGTTTAAATTGAGGACCATGCAGCGAGCGATGGAAAGGAAAATCATAGGTGTAACCCGAAGAGACAAGAAGAGAGCAGAGTGTATCAGGGAACAAACGATTGTTAAGTACATCATAATCGAAATCCAGAAGAAGAAATGGACATTGTCCGGGCACATAGCACATAGGCAGGATAACAGCTGGTCATTAAGGGTAGCTGACCGGATTTCCGGGAAAGGAAGCAGGTGAAGTGGAGACAGAAAGACGGGCAGATAAGATAGTTAGCGGGTTTGAAGTGGCAGGAGCAAGCACTTGACATAGTTGACTGGTGGAACATGGGAGAGGCCTTTGCACTGCAATGGGCGTAGTCAGGCTGATGATGATGATTATTATGATAATGAAAAAGGGAGAAGGGTTGCGATTTTGACATCAAGCTGTGCCGAAAACAAAAATTTTTTTTTGCCCGATTTGTTGCTTTAGCATAGCAATATGTTTTATTAATTGCAGAAAAAATAAGTGTTTTTAAATCTTGTGACATTCAGTGTACAAAAGCAGCATGTTTTATGACATGCAGTAACAGCCTTGTTACTTGTGTGCATGATGACAGCATGAACACTGTGCTTAGTGAGGGCAGCATTCTGCATTCACTGCTGGCATGAGTTTCGCATGCATGCACACTAGAAGTGCCCTAGTGTTATCACTGGATGACACCCGCGAGGCTGCTTTTCTTGTCAGCGCTGCAAGATTCCTTCAGGATAGCAGGATTCGTCTGCGGCATCTCATCAGCTTGTCACACCTACTTTATATGAACACTTGGTCTAGCTGATTTTTCATTGAATACTAAAGAAGAGACATAGGGATTGCATTTATTTTTTTTCTGTTCAGTGATGCTTATCTTAGGAGTTTATATTCAATGCTAAACTTTGTTGTCACTACTAGCGCCTTGCTTACGTCTTGCACCCAAGAACAATGTATACCTGGTCCACCTGAACATTTACTTGCAGAGTACATCAATGTAGCAGTAGCCTTTGCATAAGCTTGGTACAACCTTTTCTATGTAAACAATTCAGTTAATTAAAATGACATTCGAAGCACCATTGCATCCAGGCTTTTAATTCTGTTGGTGGTAATCTGTTTGGCGGTAATCTAATTTATAAAGACAACAAAAACATCTGTGATTCTCTTGATGTATGGGGCACAATGTGAGCTACCTTGTTTGATTGCTGTAAAGTGTTGTGCAAAGTACTTGAGATGTGGAATAACGTACTGACTGCAAGGTCAACAAAGGCAGATATCTTAATTATGAATGGGCAGCTATAGATGTGAAAGCAGCCTGCACTTACATCTGTGTGGTCACAGCATGCTGAATGGAACATGTGCTATTGGGTGTGCAGCGAAGGCATATTGCACAAACGAAATGTTTGATCATTGAATGCCTCCAATCCTCAGGCCAGATGGCATCGGAACCGTCACTGTCGAGGAGAAGGACATGTTCGCTCAGGTCAGGGAGCGATTGCGCATTCTTCTGGAGCACCAGATTACCCACTTCCGGTGAGTGCTCACTTTATTCAGTAGGCCATGTCTTTTGCTATGTTCCAGAAATGAACATTGCACAGATGCTCAAAGTAGCCTTGTTGTGTTGCATTGAATCTTAAGGTGATTAACATACTGTGCTGGTGGCAGCAGTGCAACACTAGTTGGCCGATGTGATTTGCTTATTAAGTATGCTTAGACCACTAGCTCGCCTAAAAAGAAGTCCTTCTGGCCACAGCGAATACAAAAGCATTTGCTCCTCGCTTTAAGCAAATGTCTCATGTTGTAAACGTCTTTAGATATTATGTTCCTATAAAGTGAGAACTTTACTTATGATTTTTAATGCACGGGCAGCATTTTCCTTGGCCTCCACTTAAGGCAGCTGCAGACAAAACACAAGAATTAAAGCTTTATTTACCTCCCAAAATGCTAATGTACACGAGTGTTGGTGGGGCAGCTGCATAATGGCAACGAAACCAGGCGACATGTTTATGCAGCATCTTGCACTCAGTAAGAGGTGCAACTTTGATGCAAGGATTTTTTTCAGGCAATATAAGTGTGTAAATTGGCCTTGTTGGTTACTAATAATTGCAGTGGGTTGTGCAAATGATGCACAGCACACAAATCCACAGCACGGTTCTTGTGTCTTTATTTTGCATATTCATCATTTGAGCTTTCTATTAATACAAAAAAAAAGGGTGTTGACAAAAGGGTGTGAAACATTTATGGTATGCGGAGTGTCTTTAGGTGCATGACAGTAATCTTGATTGACGCCATGGGTATTGAGAAGTTTTTTGTTGAGATGTTTTTGTGAGTAGTTGTCGGTCAAGCGCCCTCAGGTTTCAGAGCACTAATCATTTGCGTGCAAAAACAGGAAGTGACATTCGTTGGACACCATGTGCTCCGAGAAATACTTTTTGTAATGACGAGAAGTAAGAGACAACGCCTGTTCAGTAGGGCAGCTGTTCTTATTCTGACCTTCGTCGTTCTCTTCCTTCAGTCTGCCTAGCGCGTGCCCTGGCAGTAGTGGGGCTATCTTCTTTACACTCAGCCACGCTGCAGCACTGCATGGCAATCAAGCTCCAGAATTGTTTCTGGTGGGTGAAATTGACACCTCGGTGGTCTGTGCCAATCATACTGCGACTTCATTTCGAGATTGATCAGAAGTGTCTCTGGTGGGTGACTTAGGATGCGACGTAATGGACGTAGGACGCTTCCTAGACACCTACACCGCCTGAGTGCAGCGATGTGGTATTTATGCATGTGTGCGTGCCGAGCTGGAAAATACATGCACAACACAGAATGTGTGTGAGCGCGGAAAGACTGCAAGATGTGATCATGGTGCGACACGGCTGCATCTTGCTTGCTGTCCTCGCTCTCCATTGTTCTGCGATCAGGGCGGCGGAAAATGATGTTTCCTGGCTTCGTACAATGCCTGTATGTGTGAACGCAAATATTGCTCAAACTCACTCCGACGTCGTTGAGTATTCAATTAGAATGCCGTTGTTTTGGTGAAGCTGGTCACTGTCCGAACAATTCGTGGTGATCTGTGTAGTGACAACAGGTTGGTTGTGACCCGTGCGGTGTTCAGGTGGTACGCCGGCAGCCGGAATGGCACTCTTGCCATTCTCAGAAAGTTCGCACGACATGTCAAAATGGCCAATGTTGGCTCTATTGGCCCAGGGCACAATGATGGAGCTCGCACTCTTGGCCAATGACGGCCGCGAAGTCTGCAAAAGTGGCATCAACTGGTGTGAAAGGGTCTCCCTGTTACCCACTGTCAAATCTGGTTGCAATGGCTGAAGGTCTATGCGGTTATTGAAATTCACTTGGAAGTCTGATGCCTGGTGTGGTATTAATATAGGGGTTCGGATCATCATGTCTCGATGCAAAGACGAGCTGTGGGCCTGCAACTTTGAGAGCTCTGACTTGGAGGTAGTGTTGATCGATGGCAAGAAAGCTTGTGAGATGGTTCTCAATGTGAAATATGATATCGGTACTGCAGTAAGTATTTTGTTGCCTGTTTCCATGCTCACCGCAGGTTGTTTTATCAATAGGTCATCAGATGTATTGCAGGGTACAGCTGCACAGTTGAGGTGAATTTCTGGAGCCCGTCCTCGATAGTGGCGAGGTTGTAATGGGCGGTGGCAGTGAGATCGGAGTCAATAAACGCAGTGATGAGCTTGGTGCTCCTGTCTGCCCAGGACTGCTGCTTCATGCCTTCATATCTGTGTCACGCTGTGGCAGCACTTCGGAGGCAATCTGTGGCCATGCCCCACTTCTGCTTTTTAGTCCATGCGTCCATGCGTTGCGAGCTCTGAGAGCGTTGGTGGTGGTGATCGAGTTGTTGGCGTCGTTCTGGAAGCCGCGGAAGTGTGGGAGTTCAAAGGCAGCCAGTGATGGCAGTACGGCTGACGAAACTCTGAAGCATGTCAACGCAAGCCAGCTGAGTTGGTGGGAAACCTCTGTGAGGGTGTACCAGAGCTTTCTGCAGTTATCTGGTGAGCCTTCTTCATGTTCTTGTGAGGCGGCTGCAGCCAACGCCTCATCGATCACGCGCAGTGCTGGCAAGGCTGCAGGGAAGAGCACTGAGGTCGACGCTGTGAAGATGTTGATTGTGACGCGGAGTCACGCGATGGTTCGGAAAAGCTTGGCAGGGCTCTCAGGCAAACCGAATGCGGGGTCGACGTCAAAAGACATGGAGTACTCTTTCATTAGCGTATCACTGCGGCGATATCCTTGGCCGAGAGTACTTAGATGGGCTGGCACCCCTGAGCGACTGATGTGCCAATAAAGTACCGAGTGTGACGTCGCGGCGGGAAGTGTGGGCATTGGTGCCTGGCAACAGGACGCTGCATCTTGTGTTGGCAGCGGCACTAAATGCAAAGGAAGCCTGAATGACATCCGTTGAAGGCTCACTCTTTGGAAGGGTCTTGCGACCGATATCTGTGTCAAGCATACGTGACGTTCCCGAACAAATGGAGCCCGTACGCCGTCTCAGATGCAAGGGGTAGGGAGGTTCCTGTCAGGTTGAAGAGGCATTGATGCCGTTCGCAGATGGTTCGATGGGTAGGTTCTGCAGCAGTCAGGCCGTGGAGTCCATAATGGAGGAAGGGTTGATGGCATTCCAGGTTGGAGAGACCCACGCTGCCGAGGACCCCCGAGGACACGTACTGGTGGTTTCAGCCGCAAGGTTTAGTTGTCGGACTGCGCCATTGTAATGGCGAGAAGTAAAATATGTAGTGAAGAGGAATGCCCACTACCACAGCGACATTGAAACATTGGCGCGAGACGCGAGATGGGGCTGTCTGGTTGCTGCTGCGACGCTGCCCGTACACTCAGCTTGCTCTTGCTACTTCTGTACCGACGCTGCTACTGCTTTTGACCTTGCACTTACATTATATTTTGATAGAGAGTGCTGCGGTCTTCCCCAGTCCTGGTACTGCGTAGCCGAAAGCTGCCGTTCGTCATGCCTGACGACGCTGTCTTCACAACCCCACCGGCTTCGCCACGCAGGGGCTGTCCCGGTGCCCAGCTCTTGCGAGAACCCGACAGCTTCGGCGGCACCGATGAGAAAGACGTTCAGGATTGGCTGGAATCTTATGAATGAGCCAATGCTACTAACAAATGAGACGGTCCCGCGAAGCTTGGTACTGTGATGTTGTATTTAACGGATGTTGCCAAGCTATGGTACAGAAACCATGAGGCGGATATTCTCACATGGACGACCTTCAAAGCCTGCATTGCAGATGTTTTTGGACGCCCTGGTGTGCGCAAACTTCGCGAACAACGCCTACGAAGCTGGTCCCAACAAACTAGTGAGACATTCATTAGCTACATCGATGACATCCTCGACCTCTGCCGGCGTGTCGACCCGACGATGGCAGAACTGACAAGGTACGACATATCATGAAAGGCATTTCCGACGACACCTTTGCTGCTCTCAAAGAACCCTGTCACTGTCTTTGAGCTCATCGAGTTGTGTCAGAGTTTCGACGAGCTCCGACGACAGCGTCTTCTCGAGCGACGCCCCAACGTCTCGGACGACACACTCTCAAGCCTAACCACCAACTCTGACCTTGAGCCCCTGCTATCGCAGATCAAGGAGTTTGTTCGTGCTGGAGTCGCTCGTCAGCTATCGCTGCTATCAACAGCCGGCCAACCATCATCACCTCTGCCAGCAAACATTCGCCAGGTCATCCCCAGGAGCAAGTCTGCGCAGCTCTGCCATCTGCCCGTGACACTTCACCGTTGCCGACCCCTGTTACTTGTGCCGAGGTAAATGCACCTCTAAGCTATGCTGAAGTGGCCGCTCGACCACCTCTTCAGACTTTTACGTCACTGCCATCAACCATGCCGCCGCGACCCAATCTTCAGTTCGCTCAGCCAAGGTCGCTGCAGAGTAGTGAACAATGGCGTACACTCGACAGTCGGCCAATATGCTGTGCCTGGGGCCTACCTGTCCACATAGCGCGACACTGCCGTCAACGCGTCCCTGTCTACCACCAGAGCTACCACCAGAGCTTCGAACCTGCCCCTTATGTGCCACAGCGCCCTTCGTTAACAGGCTCTCAGCCCCCCGACCAGTTGTCATCGTACGCCGACCACCGCTCTCCTGTTGACCGCCGCTCGTCATCACCTCTACGCCGCTCGCCATCACCGATGCGTCGTCGTCCTTCATCGTCGGAGCGGGAAAACTAATCGCCGCAGTTCCAGGGGCAGGAACTGCGACACCCGCAAAAAGGCCAAGGCCTCTCTCTTCACCGACGAATGTACTGGACGTATATGTGGACGGCGTTGCCGCACTCGCTCTTGTCGACACTGGTGCTACAGTTTCAGTGATTAGTGCCAGATTTTGCCGCTTGCTCAAAGAAGTTATGATGCCACAAGCAAGTATGTCGCTTCGTACAGCAAGCGCAGAGCACGTCACGTCAGCCGCTGCCTGTACTGTTTGCATTGAGATTGACGGCCTCATCTATGTCGTCGAATTACTAGTTTTGGATTCCTGCTCCTATGAC